CATCTCAACCAACTTCAATCAACTTCAGCTACTCTAGAAGTGCAAATAGGAGAATAAGAACGAGGCTGGTCCCAGCATAAAAGCGAGGCCCTATCTCAAAAATAACCAAAGCAAAAAGTACTAGGAGAGCAGCTCAGGTGGTAGAGCTTCTGGTTGGCAAGTACAAGGCCTTGACTTCAAACCCTAGTACTGACTCCTCCCACCCCCCAATATAAAACAAAGTTAACATCACTAGTAAAGGGACAAATCAGCATCACATGCCTATTGATAACTCACATTGAAATTTTTTTTTTGATCCTCCTATGAAAAGCAAATAACTTTTGGATCTGAAAAGTCCCCCACAGGTCCATACAGCAAAGGCTAAGTCCACAGCAAGGTGCTTTTGGTAGGTGGTAGAACCTTTAAGAAATGGTGCAGAGGGCTGGGTGTGGCAGCTCATCTCTATAATCCCAGCTATTTGGGAGTCAGAGATAGAAATAAAGTTCAAGGCCAGCCCAGGCAAAAAATTAGTGAGGCCCCATCTCAACAAATGAGCCCAGTATGGGGAGTCTAGGTGACCAGCCTGTGGGTCAGTGAGTATTCATTCATTGTATTATTTTTCCAACTTCACTGCAAGTCTGAAATTAAAATAAAAAGGTAAAAGAAAAAAATCTTAAAAGAAAATCTGGGGAGGGTGAAGGCCTCTGAGTCTAGTAGCAGATCCCTAAACACTGGCATGGTGGATCTTGAGAGCTCTAGGGGATGAGGGCGCAGCCGCAGGCATCTTCCCTTGCACAGGCTTAGCACAGTTGCTGAGCTTGGTGACGCTCCTGCCATTAACAGACACCTGACTTTTTCCCATCTTTGCCCCAGATCCCTCTGGTTTAGTCTTGTTCACTAGCACTTCTCCACATTCCTCCTGCATGACCTCTGACCTCAGGAGGATTCAGGCTCAAAGCAGGCGCCCCAAAGACTGTAGTTGGATGCTGGTGCCCTGACCTGGACCCCCACAAGTGGCTGGAACTCCTGCTGGCGCTGACTGAAGCAGCCATGCTGGCACTGAGGTCTCCACCCCTAGCCTGGGGTCAGAGGGCACATGTGAGAAGCTCTGCATCCCGAGAACCAGGGCTGCCCAGGGGTGAAGAGTGCCCCTCTAGGTCCTTTGCGCTGCCCCCAGAAACCACAGGCTTCCAGGTTTAGTGCTGGAGCCAGATCTTCAAAGGCATGACTGCCCCCAAAATACGTTTTTATCTCACCAGCTCCTGCCCCTCCCATTAGAACTCTGCTCTCCGGGGAGAAATCATTTCCAGGCACTGTCTTCTCTGAAAGTGCAGACCTCATTGTCACTTGGTTCATGGTTCACAGACTTGTGTATGTGAAACACATAGAATGTCTTTATTTTCCATACATCATTTAGATCTCATGCTGGGCCCCCATTCCAGATCCTGGGAGCCCGTGTCCCCAGCCATGCAACCCCTTTTAGTGAACACATGCTGGGCCCAAGCTAGCCAGGCCTTCCTGCTCTCTGTGGCCTGCAGCTGAGGCTTCTGTCCTTCACTAATGAGGGGCCACCTTTCTCTGGGTGCCTCCTCCAGGAAACCCTCCCAGACTAATCAATTCTCCTTAATCCAGGCAGAACCCTTCTCCCAGTCCATTTCCAACAGCCTCCTGCGGTCAGTTCCTTGTGGAGAACAGAGGTCCTGCAGGGTGGCTGGGGCAGGGCCAGCAAAGCTAGAGAGAAGCAGGGGATGGTGAGCTTTCCTGGACAATGAAAACCAGGCAGAGGGAGCCAAACTGGCATTCAGTGTCAGAGGGGTCAGAGGCTCAGGGCAGGTCTGACTCCTTCCTGCCACCATTGCCTGTCTGTAGGCCCAATCACAGGGGCTTCTCAGACACCTTGTCAGCAGATGGCTCTGCAAGGAGTGACATCAATTTAGGATTGTGCTGTCCAAGTTAGTCACCACTGGTGGCACATGGCTCCTGAGCACTTGGAATGTCTCTAGTCTGAATGGGAGATATGCTGTGAGTAGAAAACAGATTTCAAAGTTTTTAATATAAGAACAATGCAAATTATCTTCTTAATATTTTTATATTGATGACATATTAACGTGGGTATTTTGGGTATAATTAAGTTAAATAATATATTATTAAAATGACTTTTGATTGTGTGCTTAGCATGTGTGAGGTCCTGGGTTCAATCCTCTGCACCAAAACAAAACAAAACAAAAAATTTATTTCCATTTACTGTTCTTTAGTTTTTGTATGTAGCCCAGGCTGGCCTTGAATTTGAGATCCTCCCGCCTTAGTGCAAGGATTATAGGCGTGAACCACCACACCCTAGCTCCTTTTATATTTTTTTTATATAGCTACTGGAAAATTTTAAACTACAGGTGTGGTTCACACTCCATCATTTCTATTTTACAGAGGAGGAAACAAACTTGAGTGACATGGGCAGCAATATGTGCCCTAGGATTGAGAACAGATAAGACTCCAAAAGGGATGGGTGCTTTCTCCAGCCCTGCCTGTGGCTGGAGGACAAATACCAGAAGATTTTATGCTCAGAGTCACACCCCGCTCCCTCTCCCTGAATCTTGACCGATTAGTGATACCTTCCAGAACCTCAGTGTTAGTGCTAGAACCCGTGAACGTGGGAGCCTCCCCAGGATGCCCAGGCTGGGCAGATACCGTTGTCTTCCCCTCCCCACCCTGGCCAGCTCCAACTACTGTCAAAGACCTCTGCTGCTCCAGCTCTTATCAACATGACCTTGGCCATTAGCTGTGGCTCCAACCAGGCAACGACTGTGGGGCTACCTTGCAACCTCCCCACATGAGCACCCTGGAGGGCGAGGGTTCACAGTCAGCCTGCAAGCCTCTGAAGTAGTAATCTTGGGGTTAGAAACAAGTTCACTGCAGCAGGAGCTCCAGGGGGCCTGGGGCTTCATGGTCACCCACCTCCTGGGTCCCCTGCCCACACCCAGAGAAGGGACTTGATCCGGGGTCTAAGGCTAGGCCGTGGGGTCCAGGGCTAGGCTCCCAGAAGGTGCCTTGAAGGGAAGCTTGTGCCTGAATCTCCCTGAGCGCCACTGCTGGCTTCCCAGAGATGGCCTCTCTGGGGTCTTGGAGACAAGCAGAGCCCATCTTGTCTTGGGTGCCTCATATGTGCCCAGCATCACCTCCAGGAGACTGTCTTGCCCTGGATAAGGATTCAAGACTCAGTCCTGGGTCCCTTGAGGCCAGGTTTGCTGGAGGTATTTGGGATCCAGCTGGGACATCCCATTTGGATGTAACAGGGTCAAGTCTTGGGCTGTGATTATAACATAAGGAGGCCACTTTGGGTTTTTAAATAGTTTTAAATTTAAGAAATGAATTAAAGGAAAGAACTTAGGGAGTGAGAATTCTTGGCAGGCTCAGGATAATTACAAAACCAGCTCCCATTTTCCAAGTCTCTGCAGTGCCACCATCCATGGGAGGGACTGGACAAAGGTCTCTGGCATACCCAGCAGCACAAGGGTTATTATACCACATCCAATTGGCCACTACCATGCCATTCCTCCCTCCTGGGGCCCAGATGCTCAGGTATACAGTGGGAGAAAGCTCAGGGTGATCTGATTCAGCTCCTGTTCTGCCAGTTGCCTCAACAGCCTCCCTGAAACTCATTATCTTCATCTGTAAAATGTGGCTAATGGCAGTTCTTGGATCACAGGGAAGGAGCTGGACATCTGCCCCACTCTTTGCTTATCTTTGCAGTTCATACTGCTAGCATTACTTCCAGGCTGCCAGAGCCACCTGTCCCCCTGAGCAGAGGCTGTCCTCTAGACACCTGCCCCTCCCTTCCGTACTCCAGAAACCTGGAGGGAAAAGATAGTCCAAGAATCAGACCAAGAGTTATGCCTGGCTCTGCCTTTGCTGAGGGGTCTTCCCTCTCCTGTTCTACTAATCCTAATCCTTACCTACTCTGCGGACAGATTTGCCCTGATCATAGGAGCAGGAGTGGGAGGGGGTAATAAGCCTCACCCTTTTAGCCTCCTGGAGTTCAAAGCTAGAGGTATTCTGTGGTGTTGGAGTGCCCTTGGAGTCTCATTGTATAGTAACAATGACAGGAGCTACAGCCCAAATGAGGAGGAGACATCCCCTACAGGCCCTGCCACCTCTGCAGCTCAGCCTACTTCCCAAGGGCGTTCATCTCCTTGCACCCCCTACCCTACAGCTGCTCCTCCCTAACCCCCCTCAGCCATACCTGCACATTTGCTGTCCTCTCTCCTCTCCTCCCCTCCCTCTTTAGTCTTCTGTCTGTGTCTGGCCTGGTCTCATCTGATCACAATGCTCACTGGGTCTCTAGAGTCAACTGTGAGCTTGCCTTGGCTTTGGATCTGGGCTGGGACTAGGGTCCCAGCAAGGTGCTTAGGGTGCAAATTTAAGGAGGCATCACTCTCAGGGTTATATAAGTGTAGGGTTCAGGCCTAGATTTCGTGCCTCCTTAAATTTTCCTTCGTAAATAGTCAAGTCCAACATGGTCAGTTCCACCAGAAGGCTCCACTCTCTGCCCACAACACACCCCAGACTCCTCTCTCACACATGGCTGACACTGTCTTCTGGGCTGCACCTTCAAACCTCTGTCATTCAGACTCTGCTTCCCATCTCCATCACCCTCTCCCTCCTGGCCACCAGCCACCACTTCCTCCCTCTGCCACATCCCACAGAGATCTTCCCCATTTGTATGCCTGGTCCTGCTCTTCCAGTACTACTGTACTCCATGGCTCCCAGCTAGCCTAGGGAGAGAGTACAGGCCACTTTTTAGCCTCATACCCTCTCTTCTTTCTGCCTTGGAATACTGTCTGAAATTTCATTCCTAACTCAAAGAGGAAGACTCTCCTGTCTTCTGCTCCCACAGCCTTTGCCCTGACCCTTGTCTCATCCTCCCCTGCTCAGGGCCCAGCCCCTCCCAACTGTGCTGGACCCACTGCCATCAGTTCCCCATATTCCAGAACAGTACTTGATTGAGCACAGGTACTCAGCTGGTATTTGTTGCATGGATAAATGAATTTATTCTTGAGTACATAGATGGATTGTCACATAGGTTGCTTTGGTGGCTGGGTGGGGACAAAGGGAGATAGTATATAAGCTGTAGCCAGGGCTTCCCCATGGCAGCAGGTGACTTGAGTGAAAGGCCACATCACCTCCAGCAGCCAGGTGCTATTTGAATGGCCTGGCAGTGAGGTGGGAGCACGGCAGAGGCCTGCGGAGGAGGTAATGCTGAGAGGGCAGCTCTGCCCACCTCGGATTATTGCTTGAGTCTTTCTGGCAGTGCCAGCTGCCTGCCCCAGGAGCTCGGTCTCATCCATCACAGTGTGAGCTCAGGGTGGGGCTGCTGCTACTGCCAGTGGGGAAGACAAGAGAAGGGTCCCAGGGGCCTTTGGGACTTGGAAAGCAGAGGCAGCCCCAGGCTAGGACCCTGCTCAGCTCCTATTCTTCTGGCCCCTAGGATAGCTGAATGGTACCTCCAACTTGAGGGTCTCAACAAGAACCCCTTGGGGAGGCCAAGGAGAAGGCCAGGGAGCTGCAGCACCCTGGGCAAGGAACTTCGATGGTTTGGTGTCTGCTGACATGGAAGCCCTTGGGAAGATGATGTTCTGGGGCTGGCTGGGCAGGTGCTCAGCTCAGGCCCGGAAGGAAGCTTTGACCACACGGCCCTTCAGTGGCTGTGGCGGCCGGAAGTTGTTCACCATGTGGATTCTTTCATCATCCTCTGAGGTGAAAAGCAGGCTCCGGAACTTCTCCATCTTGAGAAGGCAGAAAGGATGCTCAGGGCACAATGGCGGTGCTGTGGTCCTCTAGGACCCCAAATGATGCAGTATCCAGAATACCTTGGTCCAGCCAGCTCTATGCTTCTTTCCTCCTGCTTCTGGTGCTTACTCCCACTATTCCTCCTCTTGGAGACCTCAACCTCAGTTATTTACTCCCTCCCTAAAGGGCCTCTGAGCCTGGATCCACTCCACCTCATTATAGTTCCAATCTTATTTAGGGCAAAAGCACCAGATCCTATCTGAAAAACAACCTAAAAGCAAAAGGGTTGGACGCATGGCTCCAGCTCTGGGTTGGGGGAAGCCAACCCTAGTCTCATTCCCTGTCTTAAGTGGTAAAGCACTTGCCTCACAAACTCAAGGCCCTAAGTTCAAACTTCAGTAATGGGGGAAAAAAGTTTATTACCCAAAGATGGGAACCTTGATGGGGGGCTCAGGCTGCAGGTTGCTGGCTGGGAGTTGCACTGCCTGGGTGGGATCTGGTTCTGGGTGGCTCACCTGCCTCTCAGAGATGCTGATGGGCTCTCGGAGCACGATCCAGGTGACGCTCTCGCTCAGCGGGGGCGTGGTCAGAGAGCCTGGGTAGGTCCAGTAGTGCCGGCTGGCAGGCAGGAGGTTCTTGGGGTTGAAGCAGCTGAACTGGGCCTTGGTGCCCTGGGCAGGGTGGGGACTCAGGAATCAGCACAGACATTCCACCAGGATCAGCCCAGCACCCATTGCTGGCTGCAGGATTTAGGTTTCTTCTTGGCCCATTGATGCAAATTGTTGGCAAATGTCTGTGACCCCAGGTGCCACCTTCCTAACCTGGTCTGGGCCCTCTGCACTGTATGCTTATATGTAAAACTGGCACCTGGGGCTCTCTGGTCACTGTGACCACTCCTTTGCCTTTGGCAGCCCTCAGTGGGGCTGCCTGGCAGACTGCCATTCTTGTGACTGGCTCCTTATACCCCACCAGGCTGCATGCTAGGCACCCATGGGACTGCAGAACCCTGTAAAAAGGGGCCAGGTGCGTGGCCCCAAGGGTGACCTCAGCTAGGGGTCACTGTCAGCTTGGAGGAGTGAAGGGGCCCACTCTGTGAGCCAGTCTCTTTCTCCCTTCCCACCAGGCTGCTCTCAGTCCGGGGCAGCCACTCCCAGTCTCACCTTAAACCGAACCATGTAGAGTGCATCTGTCAGACGGTTCATGCTCGGATGCTCATCCCCTGTCTATCGGGGAGAGAGTAGTGTGATCTCAGCGCACTGCAACCCAGAACTAGGAGCACACCAGGCCTCCCTTGCCCTTCTTGGCCCCAGGGGGCCACCACCCACCTCCAGGAAGACACCGACCACAGCCAGGCCGTCAGGGGCCAAGGCCGCCTCCCCAAAGGTGCTGTACTTCTTGGCATTCCAGTGAACCAGATGCAGCTAAAGGGGCAAAAACAGGCCAGGCCAGGGCTGAGCATCTCCAAGGCAGTGGCAGCTTGGAGCCAGTCTCCACTCATCCTGCCAGACTCTTGCTCCTCTGCAGGAGCGGTTGGCTATCAAACATCTCAGTCTTGGGGGAGCCCCAGAGAACTACAGGTAGCATCTGCTGCTCTGGGCCCAACCCTTTCTGGAGCCACAGGAGATGCACAGAGGAATCTGGCTCAGGCCCAGCTCAAGGTGCACTAGCTGTGAAATTGATGCCCATCCAGTGTGACACCTCCCTGAAGAGGTAGCAGGTGGCTCCTGCAGCTGAGTCCAAAGAGTAAGTAGAGGGTTATCAGATGGGTGCCTCTGGGAAAGTCATTCCAGAAAAAGGGAACAGCATAGGCAAATTTTGGAGATGTGAGGAGCCAGGTGTGGGCAGGTGATTCATCACACACAGCTCACCAGGGGAAAAGGGTAGGGAAGATGAGGCCAGGCAAGACCAAGTCATGTTCTTGCAGGGCCTTGAATGCCAGGCTCAGCAACTGAGAATACAGAGGGCCTTCTAAAATCCCCTGGATGCAGGGTCTAGGACAGCAGTGGGCAAAATTCAGAAGAAGGACCATGCTGGGGACAGGTGGAGGCATCTCTCCCAAAGGCCTCTAGCCACTCTTCGTGCTCTTCAGAGCCCTCCCCAGGCATTCTCAAGCCCCTGACTGCCATCCGTCCTCCTTCCTCGGGCAGCAAAGGGATGCTGGGATGAGCCCTTACCTCGCTGGGGAATGACTTGCCGTCCACCGTGTGCTCAGAGCCCACATCGTGCCTCTTGCCCCAGTGGAAATGGAATTGCTTGAGGCGGTAGGGCCCCTCCAGGGGCCCACCGGTCACCACTGTGGGTAGAAGTGGGGTGTGGCAGTTGGTGTGGGAGGACACACAGCCTGGTAGGTGGCAGTGCTAGAACCCAGGCACTGGGCGTGCGGCAGTCCTACTAGTCTGGGTCAGGGCAGAAAGTCTGACAGCCTGCAGGTGGTAGAAGCATCTGGGACTGAGGGAGTACAACTCTCTATTGCACCATCCTCCTATTCCTGCATGATTTGTTGTGGAAGCTGGGCCTGCCTCCTAGACCCAGGAAGTCTCCTGGATCTGGAGTCTTGACCCAAGGCTGGCTTTGGAAGGAACCCTTTGTTTAGTCCTCCTGGTAACCCATGAGAGGCAGAATCTATTATTATCTCTATTTTATAAAGCAGGAAACAGACACAGAGAGGGCAAGGCATTTGCCCAAGGTCACATAGCAAGGCACTGAGTTATCTCCTGTGTCCAGAGCTTGAGCCTCTAATCAAGCCACACTCCCTCCCTACAGCCGTGGAACTCTCTAGAACATGGTGCTGCCCCAGAACAGAAGGCTAGCTCCCAGGGTCCCTGTCTTCCTTCCAGGCCAGCCCGAGTACCTCCAGGGCCAACTCCTGCACAAATGTCCTCTTCGGAGGCCCCATTTGTGCTGGTTTTGTGAGTTTCTCACCTCCCTCCATAGTAGGTGAGCTGGGGCCACGCACAAGGCCTCTTGGGACTGATAGAATTTCCAGCTGAAATGGATCTGGCAGTGGGGGCCCCAGTCAGACCTGAATGTGAGCCCCTGGATCAGGTGACAGCCCCAGGCTAAAAGTTCCACTCAACCCCTCCATAGTGGGTGACCAGGGCAGGGACATGAGCCCTGTGGGTCCCTCGAGGATGACAAGGAGGAGGACGGGACAGTCCAAGGCTGCTCCTTGATGTACTGCCTTCCATGAGAAGTAGGGCCTGTCCAGGGTCATGGTAGAAGGAGAGGGTGGCTGTGCATAGGGCCCTAGTGAGACTGCCTAAGGGTGGGACAAGCAGTTGGGCTTGCAAACAGAGCATTCTGACCCATCTATAGGGGTCCACTTCTCTGCCTCTTCTAAGACCCCACAGAGTGGTGTTCCTAGGAATTTATTATGAAAGAAACTAGACTCTAATCTCAGGGCAAAGAGGCCTTGGAAGGAGCTGCCATGCATTCCCATGGCCTCTCTCTGGCCCAGATGGTGTAGCTATCAAGGTTAGGGGTGAGTTGACAGAGACCTTTGAGCTGAACCAGGCTTGCTCTGGCCCTCTGCAGCTTAAGCCTCTATTTGCCCATCTGACATGTGGGTTCTTGAGAGAACAAATGTGCCATGTGAGACCCTAGCAAGGAATAGGGCACATGAAATCTCAGGCTCTTCCACTCCCTGCCAGCTTGACTACACACCAAAGGACAAGATGGCTTGCCTGAGGTCATCAGCAGGTCAATGCTGGGCAGGAAACAGAAACAATGCTGATTTTTTTTTTTTTTTTTTTGTGTTGGGTATTTTTGAGATAGAGTCTCATGAACTATTTGCCTGGGCTGGCTTTGAACCATGCTCCTCCTGATCTCCGCTTCTTGAGTAGCTAGGATTATAGGTGTGAACCACCAGTGCCTGGTGGAATTAACATTTCTTGAGGATCTGCTGTATAGATGCTGGAACTACAAATGTGACTTTATTTTTCCATTGTCTCTCTATGATCCTAGAGAGCAGATTTTGTTCCTCCCATTGTTCTGCACAAGGAGTATGAGGCTCAGCCCAAGGTTTCACAGCTGGTGAGAGATGAAGCCTTCCTCCCCCACCTCAGCAAGCTGCCACTCCTGAGCCTGCCCAGCACGGGATGAAGATACTGGGAGAGGGTCAGGTGCCAGGCTTTGGCAGGGGTCACTTACCAGTCCGGTCATCACTGTCATTGAAGTCTACCTGAACAGAGTGGCCATTGTTGGTGATGCTGAGGGACGTGCAGGTCTCGTAGGAAAGCTCCAGTGGCTGCAGGCTGGGCGAGTACACAGCCTGGCTGGATATGATATTGATGGGTGACTGGCGGTTTCCCTGGGCAATGGGATACAGCTTGTGCCAATTCGAAGGGCCTGCAGGTGGGGAGGGGGAAAGGACTCAGGCCAGCCAGGACTGAGGGAAGCCCTGGAGAATGGTCTTTCTCGCATCCTTTTGGTGAGCCCTAGCTTTGGAGTCACATAGCCCTGAGTTCTAATCACAGCAATGCCACTCCACAACTCAGCTTCCACTTCCGCATATGGGAAATGGCCTCAGTAAAACTCACCTCCCAGTACTGATAGGAGGCCCAGAGAGGTAGTACATGGAAGGGAAGGTAACACAGCTATGACCTCAAAGGCAGTTCCAGTGAGTGAATCCTCCTAACCCCCATCACATACTCAGGAAGGTCCACAGGTTAAAGAAATCTCCTACTTGACCCTGTCAGGAATTTAGCTTCTTTGTGTTGTGATAACAACAAAAACTCTCATCCACTTAGCTTTAACTCTGTGACATGTGTTTGCTCCTCATAACCACCCTGTGGAGTTGGAACCAGCATGACATCCATGTCACAGAAGGCCCCTCACACATGTGCCATGTCCACGTGCAACACATGCACTCAGCAGGTAACTGTACTGCCTCCCGCTGCCCTCTGCAAGCATGCGCTGAGAAGTCAGGGCCATAGAGATCATACGTGCACACACATGTGCACAGCGATCTGGACTCCCCAGGCCCACAGTGGCCAAGCCCAGAATATGCATGTGTCCAAACACACACTCAGCCCTGCTGACTATATCTGACACACGCATATGTGCCCTCACACACAAACACCTCCTGTTGGGAACCCAAGTTTGCATGAAGGGACCACAGCAGAACACATGCCCATGCACACACCCCCATGCACACACACCTGCGCACACACCCACGGGCACCCACCACCTGCCTCCCAGAGGCTCCATCTGCAGCGGAGGGCTCAGCATCTCCCTGGGGAACATCCTGAGATACGGCCTATTTTTAGAGCTTCTGCCGGCTGGTGCTTCTCCCCCTTTCTGGCTTCTTAAGTTTTCCCGAGAAAACAGCAGCAGGTGCCGACAGAGCCATGTCCCCAATGGATGACTCAGAATCGTGGCCCGGCCCCACTTGGTTATTTTTGAAGTCCTGTGAGCACTGCCACATGCCGGCACCTCTGTCCTCTGTCTTTCCCTCCCTCATTGCCCCTAGACTGAAAAGTCCAGGGCTGGCTGGATGAGGAGCAGTCACCTGAGGTTAACACTGGGCATGGGGCAGGTCCTTCAGGATGCTGGAGCTCAAAGCTGGTGGATACGACTAGCAGGAAGGGCTGGGGGACTGGGGCCCTGGGAGAAGCATCCAAAAGCTGGCTCAAGTCTGGGCTGGGGGTAGGGGTAATGGATCTTCTGTGGGCTCTGTCAGCCTGGACCTTCTCTGCTGCCTGTTTTTCTACCTCTGCTGGTATCCACTGCCTTTTTCTGAATGTCTCTGTTCCTCTCTTGCATGTCCAGATCTGGGGTTCCTCTTCCAAAATATCCTCCCTTGTCCTTGGGGGCAGACACTGTGCAGCACCTTCTGACTCCCTGGTCCGCTGCAACTCCAGACGGTAGCCCAGGACCTCCACCCACCCTCACTGTCTCTCTGGGAGAAGTGGGGCTGGAAGGACGCTCCTCCGGCCAGCACTTGCTCTTCTCCCCACCCACATCTGCTCTTTTTGGGTTCTTCTCCTGACAGCCTGGATCTTGGGTGTTAATCCTTCATCTCAGGGAAATGGGGAAGCCCTTATCTCACCCCCACCTCTGCTTGATAAGAATTAGCTCAAAAGGAAGATGACCTGTTCCAGACCCACACTCAAGCTGGCTGGCTCACCTTCTGGCTCTTCTCCCTTCCTCTGCAAGCCAAGTAAACTGAGGCGGGATTGGAGGGAGCTATCTTTCCGATCAGACCAAGAGGCTGGTGCGGGCCACCGGCTCCCACGCCTCACACAGGACGTGCTCGGACATCCTGCTAGGTGTAGACACCCAGACACATGCTTGCGTCCCCAAGTGCCTCCTTCCCTCACGTACTACCGGCACCGCAATTCGAACATTTCTGCTGGGAAACGCTCCCCCCGGGGACACCGCGCCCTTGCCCACGCGGAGCCTAGAGCCCAGATTCCCGAGGTCCTCGCACACCCGCCGTGCGCGCTCCCCACATAGACACCCGCGCACAACGCTCCGCCGCTGCGGTCCCCTGCTGCCCTGGGCCACCTCCCCGCGCTGCGCACGCCTAGGGAGAACGAGTGCCGGGCCGGGTCGGAGCGAGCGCAACACTCCGGGGCTGCGCGGAGGCGGCTGCAGGACGCGCTCAGCCACCTGGTCGCTCGCGTGTTGCGGAGCTCGCCAGGACGCAGCGCGTACTTTGCGCCCATCTCGGGGGAACCCAGCCTGGGGCCTGGCAGGCGGGCCGGGTTCTGGGGTCTGGATGGGAGAGAGGTCCCGGTTGGTCCTTGAGAGTCGGGAAACCCGACCGGGCGTGTGGATTGGAGGAGTCCAGCCTGGTGAGGGCCAGTGGGGATCTGCGCCTACCGTCGTCCTGGCCGTAGCCCCAGCCGTGGTGGCCGGTCATGCCGCTCCCGTCCCCGCAGCCGTGCACCTGCCGGATCGGTTCGGTCCGCTGGCTCGGGCTGCGGCTCCGGCCCCGCTCGTTGCGGCGGAGCAGGCTCTTAAAGCGGTGGCGGGCGGGAGGAGCAGTTCCCCCGGGACCCGCCCCCCACTCCCCAGTAGGGCGAGAGAGGCCGGCCCTGCTTTGCTCCCGCCTGCCCGCAGGCCCGCTGAGCCCGGAGTCGAGGTGAGAGGTCAGGGGGAAATAAACCTCTCTCCCACTCCTACCCCATCCCAGGTCGGCCGACCACTCTGTCTCCTTTCCCTTGCACGTGAACAGATTCTGGGACACGAGACCGCCCATGCTGAGGGCTGCAAGAGTTCACATTGCATCCCCTCCCCAGGCCTGGTCCTGAATCATAATGCCACCCCCGAGGACCTGGCTCCACCCGAGTCCTCTAGGGGTAGAAACTCCCCTGTATACTGCAAATTGCACTGACCAGAAAGTGTCCAGAACTGGTGCTTTGCCAGGTTGCCAGATGCTCTGGCAGATGCCCAGATTTGGTCTTTCCTGTGTTACAGCCCTCAGCCACCCCTGCAAGAGGAGTGCTTACAATGGCTCTACTTCAAAGAGTAGGAGACTGAGGCCCTGAGAGGTAAAGTGATCTGCCAAAACTCATGGGATGGGGTATTTCTTGGCAGTTTGTCTCCCTCCAAATGCTGTGGTCTTTACAGCTTCCCCTCAGTGCTGGGGGCCAAGAAAGTCTCCTGTGCACGTGAGGGTCAGTGAGTTCTGGGGTAGATGGGGGTACAGGACTGACAATACAAACCTGGGACCCAGGTGAAGTCAGAGCCCCAAAAATGGAACGAGGAGGAGTCATCGCAACCAAGGGGCATGGGTACGGACGGACCCACAAACTCTAGCTGTATCTCCCCAGAAACCATGTTTGAGGCCCTGCCTCCTGCCCTCTCCCTCATTTTCTCTGCCACTTCCTCCCTCTTTCAAGGGGCTCCTTGCCTGTTCTTCTGTAGCCTGCTGTTTGTGCTTCCTCTTGCTTGACCCTCAGTGCACCTATTGGGAGCTCAGGCCCTCCACCCTGCACTCATCCTCATTGCCAACCTCAGCCCAACATTTTCCCACCCACCAACCCTGGTCCTTGCTGTGCCCTCCTCCTGGTATGTCCTCTATCTTCCACCCACTGACTCCAGCCGGCCCAATCTGATTCATCTTAGCATATGGCCTTGTGCCAAGGACTGGGCTCATCTCTGGCTAGGCCTCAGCAGGCAGTTTTGGGAAGTTAAATAGATGGGGTGGATGGAAGGGTGGACAAATGCTTCCACCCAGGGCTCTGTACCCAACAATTGCTCAAAAGCCATTTGTACAATGTCTTCTGTTCAGACCTTAACCAGGGGACACTCTTTCAGGCCTTGCTTTTTTTGATCTTGGGAAGGAATCTGACATTCCATCTACCTAGCTCGGCTACCTTTCTGGGTCTGTCTCAGTTTCCCTCTCCTGGTTCCCCAAATAGAAGTGTGAACACTGACAACTGAGCCAACATTAGTGATTCCCAGTGCTGAAGAGATGCCCCTCTCTGGGCTGGGGACATAGCTCAAGTGGTGGAGCACTTGCCTAGCAAGCACAAGGCCCAGGGTTCAATCCCCAGTACCAAAACAAATAAATAATAAATAAATAAATAATTGAGAGATAATTCTGACCTCAGGATAGGGTAACAGGACTCATGATGGAGATGCATGGGGGTGGTCCTCAAGACCAGCAAATGATAGAGAATCCAACATTTTCAAGGCCCCAGGTCTCCAAGCCAGAAACAGTACATGGATCCATAAGATAAGGCATGATTGGGGGAGGTCTGCAGTCGCAGTCTCCATGTTGGCCCTGGCCCCCTTCTCCTGCGGGAACTGCAACACCCTCGGCACTTAGGGACAGCACAAGCTCCAGTGATCCACTTCCTCTTCACAGCAGCCCAGGCCTTTTCCATATTTATTTATAGCCTTTAAAAAATTATACTGGAGTTCTTCATATAGCTTTGCATCCAGCTTCTTCCATGCAGTAACCCTGGGAGATTTTTGTCCCTTTTTACAGATGAGGAAAGCAAGGCTTAGAGAGGTTTGGTGATGGGCTGAGGGTGCACAGTCAGTGACAGAGCAAGCGCTGCTTTGGTCTCTCATTCAACATTGTTTAAAATCATGGGAAGGGGAGGAAGTGGATTTCAAATTTGCCTCTTATTTGTGTATATATGCAAGTCCTTTCTAGAAGGACTTAAGAGAAGCTTGGCAGAATGTTATACCTCCAGGGAGGAGAACAGGAACTGGAAAGGGATGGGGGAGGGTACAGAATGAGGTGGGAAGGGCACTCTATCGACGAGTCCTTTGTACCTACTAAAAGAATTTAAGTATATATAGTGTATTACCTCTTTAACAACCAATAAAAGTAAATACAATTCTCTCCTTCCTGCAGCCTGTCTTGAGCAATTTTCCCTCCAGTGCTGGGAACTCAGGTAGTAAGAGGTAAGAGGAGCCAGTGACATCTACCCTTTCTAGGTGAAGACCTAGTTGCCCCAGCATGCCCACTCAGGTCAACTAGGGAGAGCCTGTGCTCCCATGCAGACACCTCCAGTTTCAATTACATGCTTCCTTTAAAGCTGAATTGATTTCTCTGCTTGAGAGTTTACTCTTGGGTCTCACTGGCATCAGTGACTCCTGGCTTTCACTATTTGTGGGGAAGGCTGAGGGAAGTGGACTATGATGAAAGGCTGGGGGAGGAGGGCATAAACTGCTTATAAAGCCATGCCTCACTTATCAAACAACCTTGGCCAATTCTCACTTCCCTTCTCTAGAATACAGTGTTTTTGCTCTACAACAGTTGATAAAGGGAATTGTCTCTGCTCTGTCCATTTCATGGGGATCCCTGTGTACATCCATTGAAACAGCAGATGTCCAATGCTGCACCAACAAGCAGAATTGTGTCTCCTTCTCGCTACTTGTTATGTACAGTGCCCATGGGACACACTAGAATCTGTTCCTGGTTTTTAAAAAAGAAAGCATTTACTGCCAGGCACAGTGGCTCACACCTGTAATTCTAGCTAGCTGTAATCCTAGGCAGAAATTGGGAGGATTGTGGTTTGAGGACAGCGCAGGCAAAAAGTTAGCAGAAACCCCATCTCATTCAATAAACCAGGAGTGGCAGCAGGGTGGCATGCACCTGTAATCCCAGCTACTTGGGAGACCATAGGTAGTAGGATTTCAGTAGGTAGGGGAAAAAACTCAAGACTCTACCTGAAAAATAAAAGGAAAAAACAAAAAAGGGTTGTGGCATGGCTTACGTGGTAGAGCATCTACCTAGCAAGTGCAAGGCCCTGAGCTTGAACCCCAGTACTGCCAGAAAAAAAAAAAAAGCACATTTACTGAGTTTGATTCCCCGAACCACACACACGCACATGTGTGCACAACACACAAGATTCCACTCCGAGTACGGGTGAATGAGCCTGGGTTGTGGATTCAAACCTGGGGTTGGTGTGTTTGATCTTTAAGCTAGAAACAGAGAGTCTAGCAGGCTAATAAAATGGTCGGATAAGGTGTTATTGTGATTCCTGATACCAAGAGTACAATCCTCAGATCCTGGGACTCCTCCTTCCCCTTTCACTTAGCTTGTTGAGCATTTAAAATCTCAAACATGCCTTTCCCAAATAGGTTGATTCATCTGTAGTTGACATCTAGTCACTGTAGAAAATTTGTAACAATGGAAAACACATATTGAAGAAACTTTAAATCAGTCATGTCACTACCCAAGGATCACTATCTTAGTAACCATCCTGCCAGGCTTCTCTGCGATGTATGAGTAAACAATCCGTATTATATAGATAGCTTTGTGATCAGTTTTTTTTTCACTTAATGACCTCAGTAAGCATTTTCCTGCTTGATTAGCCTTGGAGAATTTGATATTAGTACACTGCATTGTCCATGTACTATTTCCAGTTTTCACTATTGTAAATAGCACTGAAGTGAACACCCCTATTTAGACATCTTTGAATGTGTCTGATTATTTCCTTGGGATAAATTGCTAGAAGTAGATTACCAAATTAGATGATATATACATTGCCAAGTAACATATTTTAAAGTGTAGAAAATATTGTGGAAGTAGTTTCAGAAACATATTGCTTCATTCAGCAAGCATTTATTGAAGACTTATTAGATGTTGAGTACTGGACCAGGCACGGGTGACACAAATGTGAACATTATAGACCCACTGCTGTCTCAGGCTACTTCTGGGGTTAAGGAGAAAGGCAAGAATCAGCCAAGGAACACCAGGGTGAGAAGGGCTAGGATGGTCAAGGGCAGACAGGGAAGAGGTGTTCTAGGTTGTGACTCATTTTTCCTGGCTGGTCTCCCACAGACTATAGCCGTCCCAAACTTCACATGAACCCATAGATTCAGTCTCCTCTGGCTGAGACCAACCAGGATGAATAAAACAACAGACCTGACTTGGGGTCTGGCCAGATCTGTTGGGGTATTTATTTCTGATGCCTTAACTTTTGGTATTTCCTCTCTTGAAGCAGGGTGTGCAGCAGAACCATTAATGGTTGTGAGCCAAGGGGTGATGCATGTCAAGGGCCTGCCTGATGTATAGTAAGTGCTCAGTAAACAGGGGTAGTATTATGGATAGAGGTCACTTCCCACTTGTTCAATGGGGGGTTGGCCTAGCTGAGTGGTTCTCAAACCAGAGCATGCATCAGAATCACCTTGCTTGTTAAACAGTTTCCTGAGCCTAGCCTGAGGGTTCAGATTCAGCAGGTCTGGGACAGTGTATGAGAATTTGCATTTCTAACAAGTTTCCCAGTGATGTTGATACTGCTAGCTCAGGATGAATTAGGCCATGGCTTTCTGGTCTGATACCTTTGGTTTGCCGCATTCCACAATAGGAAAAACACATCTGTCTGATCAGCCTCCATGGCTGTAACACTGGCACCTTTTCATGCTTTTGCTTCTATGGGTGGAATTGTAGACCCACAAAAGTTGTTGAAGTTCTAAGGCCCCTACCTGTGAATGTGATTTTATTTGCAAACAGGGCTTTGCAGATATCATCATGTTATAAGATGAGGTCATTAGATGG